AATTGTTTGTTGTCAATTATAGCATCAAATGTATTGAATAATCATTGTGATGGATGTGAGGACAAAGGAATTCACATATGAGGAAAGGACTAAATAAGCTAAGCCATGTTTATTTTTTATCTATATAATTAATTATATTTAAAAAATTATTATTTTATTTCACCTTTGGAATGGCATTAATTTCAATAATTCTGAAATTGTTTGTTCCTTAGTGTTAATGATTGAATCAATCACACAAGTGGTAGTCAATTTAAATGACATTCATTTTTTAAAAGAGTTTTATTTGAAATAAATGCATTTACAGATTTTCATTCTTCAATGCTGGAAGTGTATAATTTTCTCACAGGTAAAATTTTATATTAATATGATTTAAAATATTCAATATGTTTGCTAAAATATTTAATATAATTGATTTTTTTTAATAGGCAATAGTGGGGCATTTGGATCTTGGCAATTACAAAATGAACCATATCTGGCAATATTATTTATTTTATTTTCATTTATTGTTGTAGTATATTTGATGAATTTATTCATTGGTCTTCTTAACAATCAAATTGAAAATTATAATATAAATGAAGCATTTTTGGCGCAAAAGGCAAAAATCATAACAGATATTGAATTATTTTATTTACTTCCTAATCAACATCATTGGAAAGAATGGTTTCCTGATATTTTGTAAATATACAAATTTTATTTATCTTTATTTTTTTTTGATATTATAAATAATCATAAATACTTTAATTTGATAATTTGATAGATCTTATTACACACCAATTGAAGATATTTGAAAAAAACTAGAGAAATTGATGATGGCAAAGGAGATCCAGGATTTCTGAAATTTATCTCTGAAGAACTTAGAAAAACAGCAGATATACCCAAACCAGGTGGAGGCAAAATTGATAAAAATGATCTTGAAGAAATTGAAAAAAAACTTGAAAACAAATTAAATCATAATAATGAACAGATGTTGATTCAAATGCAAACTTTATTGAATGAGATTAAAAATTTAAAAAAATTATTATTATGAAAATGGTTTATTTATACAGAATTTAAAAAAAATACAAACATATTTATTTACAAAACTTCTTTATAATATTTCACATATATTAATATGATATGTAATAGGGAAGGACAAGGATGATGTATAGGGTAAATTTATATACTTCTATATATTATGTAGTGAAGAAATGTATTTTCATATTAAATTAAGATTTAATAAAAAAGGTAAAAAAGGTAAATGTAAAAACGTTACTACTGTATTATGTCATGAATAAGAATTTGCTTTTTAACAAGTGCATGGCTCCAAACAGAACAGATACTATTAAATTGTAATTAAAGCTCCAAAAGAGCCAAGCCGAGTTGAGTTTATGCTTGGCTCAACTTGAAATTTAATATTATTTTTTATAAAATCATGATTTTGCAAAACACTGAAGAAGCAATAATAAACTATAATAATTTGTATAAGTTTAGAACATTTGAATCATAAATAATTTTATGACAGACCAAAAAATTCTGAAAATTTAAAATGAGAACAATGCTTTTTAGGTTCTGGAATATATGCACAAGAAATTGCATAATACTAAAATTACTAATCATGGTTTAATGAATTTTATGAAATTGCCATGACTTAAGTTCAGGAATTTTTTCATATTACCATCTTCTAAGCCATTTGTTCTTAGATGTTTTGTAAGGTTTTAACATATTTATTTTAATATCACATAATTTTAAAAATACAGGTTGAGAGATTTGTATTGCAAGTGTGTGATATACAGAGTTTTTTTTTATCTTGCATGGTCATTGAGCTTATACATTTTAAAGTCTAGCCAAAAATTTTGATGTCTTTAGATGATTGGCACCATACTATAAAAAAATGAAAACATTGATTTGAAAAAGTAAGAAACAAACAATAATGGTAACAATTATTATTAAAAATACATTTGCTTTTTTGTCAAAAATCATTATTTTTATTTAGTGTGCATATTTGACATCCAAATTTCAAAATAAAAAAAAGTCAAAAGAAGTTATCTCAAAATATTTAATATCACAACTGTAGTAGCCAGATAAATAAAAATAAATAATAGATAATTTAAAATGTAATAAAGTGACAGGGTTTAACTTTATTCAGGTAAGTCATCTGGTATAGAGGCCTGCATTTGCCATATAATTAAACCCGGACCCAACCCGGACCCGCATCAAATCATAATTTCTAAACCCAACCCAACCCGGACCCGTATCAAATCATAATTTCTAAACCCTGACCCAACCCGTACACAAAAAAATTTCCAATTACCAACCCGGACCCAGACCAACCCGCACCAACCCGCATCAACCAGTTTTATAAAGGATCAAAAAAATTTTTATTTTTTTCATATTAATATTTAACGTATTATCTATATTTAACATGCTATGTTAATATATATATTTATTAATATTGTATTTATATATAAAAATAACATTTATTAAAGTGCACTTCGTAATACAAGTATACTGTCTACTGTTTGTGGGTTTAAATTTGTACAAAGCTGATTAATAGTTAATCCCACTGCACTAAATTCTCTCTCACTTGATGCACCAGAAGATGGAACTGAAAGATAATAAGCACTTAATATTGCAAGCTTTGGATATTGGAGTTGATGATCCTTCCACCATTGTAATATATCTAAATCTGAATCCTTTTGTATTTTCAATAATAAATACTGATCAATCTCATCTGTATTATTTTCATCTTCATCACTTGAATCATAATATTGACTGAAATCTAAAAAATTCATATTTGATTTTTTTGATTTTTTTGGCAATCTTTCTCTTCCACTAATCTCATTATTAGGATTATTATCACTATCATTATCATCACCATTATTATTTTGAATTGATATATCAAAACATTGACTTCTAATTTCACTTCTTACCCAATTAGCATCATTAGGATCTAAAATTTTTAACTGTTTCATGCGTGGATCAAAAAAAATGGCTAATTTATGTAAATCATTTATTATGATTTTTTCAGCAACAACTTCTTTCATTTGCTTTAAGGTCTCATGATCAGATGGATTTATTTGACAGTGAATTAATAATGATTTATACCAAGGAATTACTAAATGTAATGTAGGTTGTTTAGAAGCTTCTAGACATTGACTTGCTTCTTTAAATTTCTTTAGGAATATTACTAAATTTTCTAATGTTTGCAAATCCACATCTTCAAGTCTGTACAACTCATCTCTTTCTTCAAGAAGATTATAAATTGTTTCAAATTGGTCATAAACAGATTCAAGCATTTCTAATTTACTGTTCCACCTTGTTTTAGATTCTTGTTTGAGCGTTTTTTCCAATTTGGAATACAAAGAACTTTGTTTAAAAAATGTAACTAATGATTTACAACCATCAATTGTATTTATTATAGAAGATAATTGAAAATTGTTTTCTTTGAAGGAAGTATCTAACACTGTATTAATCCTAAGCATAAAATACATTTTAATTGAAAAAAAAAATACAACTTAAGAAAAAAATTAAATAATTAAAAAATTACCTATGAGCTAAGCAGGCTAAGTGGTTATAGGCATGAAAAGCAGCAACAAAATTAGAACCAGAATCAGTTACAAAGGCATATCTTTTCATATTAACACTTGGAGAAAGATTATACCCTCTCAATATATTAAAGACAGTTCTTCTTAGTATTTTCAGCTGTATGATTGTCTTCAGGAAATTTAACAGCAGCTAGAACTTGATCTTTCAAATCCCAATTATCAATATAATGAACAGTTAATGAAATATAACTAATTTTATTGTAATCATCCGTCCATAAATCTGTAGTAAAAGCACCACCAGTTTTTTGAAAAATGTCAGTCAATTTTCCAGCCAATGATGATTTGATTGATTCTGCTGCTTTTATTACATTTCTAGATACAGTTGTTGGGTGTGGTAACAAATTATCAATTGATATACATCCATGTACAGAACCAATATTTATCATTTCTTGTGCAAACTCACGAAACCCAGAACCGTTGATGATTTCAAATGGACGTAAATCTTTGCAAACAAACTCCATGATTTTTTTTGCTGTAGTTTCTTTAGCAATTGCTGGAACCATTTTATTTTCTATAAAAGAAGTAATTTTTGGTTGATTGTTTAATGCACGATGACATACATGGCGTTTCAAACTAGATGTTCCATCCTTATAGTTGTATTTATATATCTGATCACAATTCTTGCAAGCAACATATCCAATGTATTTATTATTTGCATCTACAATTTCAACAAACCTCAGCCAAACTTCACTTTTAACATTATTGTTATTTACACTATTTACATTTTTGTCTCTATAAAATAACTCTTCTGCCCTTAATTTAGTCAATATTTCATTTGTTGATAAGTCACTTGTCATTGTTTGAATGTTTGTAAGGAATTACTTAAAAAAAAACAAATTGACCTCTCTTACAAACAAATATTTTAATTGTGGTTATTTTTTATTCTTAAAATAAATATCTATTATTTATAATGATAAGAAATACAGATAATCTTATCTATATAAATATTCTAGACATATTTAGTAAAAACATAAAGTTAATTTGTTTTACATTAATGTTTAGTTTATTTCCTTGTTTATTCACTGATTAAAGTTTAAATTGTTACAATGTTAATATTTTTTTTCTTGTGAATAAATAATTATTCACAAAATTTCTATTTGTAATACAACTCAATCTCAAAATTATTTTATTTGAATTATTCAATTATTCATTTTATTCAAATTACTTGTTTTATTCATTTTATTTGAATAGAAAATCCTTTAACACATTATCAACCCGGGTCCAACCCGCATTCATTAATTATGTCCACCCGGACCCAACCCGCAATGCGGGTCTGGGCCGGGTTGGGTCCGGGTTGGGTCCCATTTGCAGGCCTCTAACTCGTGATAATGTAAATATTTGTATATTAATTGTTGCACTTGTGAATAAAGTTATTTATAAGAAAAATTTTTTTTCTCCTTGAAAAAAAAAAAAATAATGGATGACATAGAAGACATTCCCTTATCTCCTCCTCCTTTTGAATATGAACCTACTTCTTCAATTGAAATCATTTCTGAAACAGAAACAGTTACAACCAACAGTTCTAACAGTTTAAATAGAAAAAAACGAAATAGTATTAATATCATTAATTCCCACAACAATCAAAGCACCACCAAATCCCAAAACAATCAAAGCCATACATCCTATTTTTTTCGCACTGATCCAATTAATACTTACATCACCTATTGCAAAATATGTGAAATTAATTTAGCTGGTGCACGTCAAAAACCTTATGCATACAGCCGAAAAGGTGGAAACACAACAAATCTTATTGTCCATTTGCGTGATAAACACAAAATCACAAAAGAAAATTATTTTCAGTTTTTAGATAATTCTAATCAGGTAATTGCTTTCTGCTGCAGGTGTTTATCCATATCCTCATTCTTTTTATCCTTCTAAAATAGAGTTTAATTAATATTTAATAGCCCCGACGTGATCAAACTCAAATTATAGGATATTTAAAAGCAGCAGCTCCATGCTCACCAAAACGACAGGAACTTATTACACAAAAGCTTGTAACCTTTATCATCAAATTCATTCAACCACTATATATTTTACAAAATCAATACTTTCGTGAATTACTCCTTATCTGTGAGCCGGGTTATAGAATTCCATGTGACAAAACAGTAAAAGCAATAATCAATGATTCATTTGTATGCTGTAAGGAACAACTTTGTTCACTTTTAAATAATAATAATGTTATTGCTGTTCATTTGACTACTGATTTATGGACTGCAAGGTCTCATCATGGATATCTTGGTGTAACAGCCACATGGTTAACATCTAATTTTGAATTCTGTGAGGCACTTTTGTCCTGTAATCACATTCCATATCCACACTCAGGAGAGACTATCAGTGCTGCATTATTTCAAATTATAAATGAGTGGCATTTATCAAACACAGCATTTACCATTGCAACTGATAATGGTTCTAATATGATAAAGGGTGTTTGACTATTAGGTGAGAAATACTTATCACAAATAAAACGGCAACCTTGTGCTGCTCACACGTTACAACTTTCAGTTCTACAAGGTCTGAAGCAGTGTAAATCAATACATCATCGAGTAAAGTGTTTACAGGCATTTTTTCGTTTACCAAAACAAGCTCAGAGACTTCGGGAAGCCCAACAAAGCAATCAGCAATTACTGGAGGAAAATGATTATAGTAACCCTCTTGATGTTTTAACTGATGTTAAAACAAGATGGAATTCGACATACTATGCATGGAAGAGAATATTAGAATTACACAATTCAATGCGACTCATTTCTACCACATTGTTGACAAAACCAGATCGAGCATCACAGAAAGAAGGAGAGAAATTAGAACGACTATGTTTATCTCTTGATGAAAAACAGTAAGTTTAAAAAAATAATTTATGGTTTTATATAGTGCTATCATTTAATATATATTATTTTTTTTTGAAAAGATTTATTCAAGATATGGTAAACCTTTTATCACCATTTGAAAAAGTAACTCGCCGATTTTGTGGAGCTAAATATGTTACTTTAAGTCTTGTTAACCCTTATATGGAATTGTTGAAAAAGACATTTGCACCTAAGTCTGAAAATGGAGAAAGTCTTGATACATACCTTGATCTCATTTATGGGCCACAAACTGAAGATAATAATGACAATGAAGAAGAATCTGACAGTTCAACCAGTGATGATGATGAAATCCCATCTGGTGGTTCACGACAACATTGGCAATATTCCCATCGTCAATTTCAACAAAGGATGCAAATTACTAGAGGGAGAGGAAGGGGGAGGGGAAGGGGGAAGGGAAGAGGAAGAGGTCATGGTATAGGAACTAGAGGTGCAATAGATGACATAGATGATATTAATCATGTTGAATATTTACCAGCTGTTAATACTACTGGCCTTCTTCAAAAAGTTCAAGCAGCTATTTTTTTATCATTAGATGAATTATGGTCAGTTCCAACAGAATTAGTTCAAATTGCAACAGTACTTGATCCCCAATTCAAAAATTTCCAATGGGATAGAAGTGGTGAGGAAAGAGACAAATCACATCAATTATTACAGGAATTATATGATTTTACAAAAGTGGATTTTGAATCTAATAATATTCAACAAACAACAACTATTCACAATTTACATACAACTAATGAAGATGACAATGATGATTTTTTTGAAACCTTGGAAATTGAACTAAGTTCATTTGAAGTTGAGAATGATGATGATGAAGTATTGAGTTATGTGAAACTTCGGCAGATTGATATTATGGAGGATCCTTTAAAATGGTGGGATGCAAATAAAGGCAATTTTCCAATTCTATCTCAACTTGCTCAAAAATATTTATCAATTCCTGCAACCTCTGTACCTAGCAAGAGGTTGTTTTCAGGTGCTGGCAACCATATTTCTGCAAAACGTACTCAATTATCTCCAGATTTGGTCAATCAAATTTTATTTTTAAAAAGAAATAGTGAACATTTCAATTTATTTCCACCCAAAAATCTTTAATTTTTGTTTTAATAATAAAAAAATTTTGAATTGATTAATCACATGTAAATCACTGTTTTAGAAAATGAAGGACAGGATTATTTACTATTACTCTATTTTATTATGAATTTTGCTTCATTTAAAATTCCATAATAATATACTATTATTATGGTAAGTAATGCTGAATACTTGCATGTAATTATTATGCTATAATTAATAGGCATGTATATAAGCAACAAGTTTGACTTGGAAAACAAATAATTAAATAACTTTTGCTTTCATTTGATATATTCCCCACAAAATTAAAACCGGTTGCCTGATTAAAACTGGTTTTGCGGTTTTATTTATAACCGGTTGCCTGGTTAGAACCGGTTTTATTATATTCGGTTTAAAACCGGTTCTGATTTTGAAAAGGTGATTAAAACCGGTTCTTGAAAATAAAACCGGTTCCAATCTCTATTCTGAACTACTGTTCGATGAGTCATGGATAACCATTTCTTGTTGAATCTTTTTATCTCTGTTTCTCTCCTTCATCATATTACTAACACTTTCTTTTCCTACCAAATCCAGAAAATCATCAACTGCTTTATCTTCCAACGAGTTAGGATCTGTACGAATGGGTCGTTTTATTTCAGAATTTGGTGCATCATTAGATATATCGGATACGGGAGCATCCTCACTTTGTGAGACTATCTGTTTGGATGTATTGTCAGAATTTATTTCAAAAGAAACAGGTATTTCTTCACTTACTGAATTCATGTTTTTGTCTTGCAAGTTCTCTTCCTTGATTAGTGAGACATCGTATTCCAGTTTAGCTATAAGGTTGCTTTTTTCTTTATCTCTCTGTTCTGGATTCATGAATCTGCTTTCATGTTCTTCTAAAGCTTGTTTTAATTTTGTGTTTTCGGCTTTGACCTTAGCATTCTCTTTTCTAAGTTCATCAATCTCTGCTACGAGTTTGGAATTCAATTCCTTTAACAAGTCTGAAGATTCGACGATTTCGGATTGAGTGTTTTCCATTGTTTTTTATAAAATACAGTCCTATTCAAATAAAAAAATCATGAACGTGTTTTTTTTCTAAACACTGATCACTCTTGGCAAGAAAAAATAGTCAAACCAAAACGAAAAAAGTTAATTGCATTCTTGATTCGGATTTTGATGGACCTATCATTTACATTCTAAAATAATAGTATACAACTATTTAGTCACATATAAAAATAATTTTCAATGTTATCATAATAAATATTTCTTATCTGAAAATGTGTATTAATCTTCTCTGTTTTACAAATAAATAAGAGGCATCTATTGTTGTTGTATAAAAACAATTAAGCTTATTTTTTTTAAACATTCAGGGTCTATGAGAAGTGCCAAGATTCTGGATCCCTACCTATCAGATAAAATTCATAAATAATTAGGATCGGCATAGACAATAGATCGCCCAGAGAATAAATCATATATACTCGGAAACCTGTTCGTGTAATTCATGAGACGTTTTCTAAATTATTAATCACTGTACTTCATTCGAACCAAAAGGCTAACATGATTGATGTGAATTTTATCAAGATCACCCATAGAAAAACACTTAAATGTTAAATTATTATAGAAAAAATAAGCATTGACTCCCCCCACAACTGATTATAAAAATATCCGAATGAAAATGAGGGTGTAGATTACACAAGTTAATTGTTCTATAAAATTCCAACTTGGTTGTTTAGACAAACCTTATTACAAAATTTCATAAAAATTTCTAGCAGGTTCGAAGACCATTCTATTGGTGAAAAAAAAACATGATATGTTTCTTGGCGAGTATTATAAATACAACTTGAATACATTTCACTATTCTTTACTTCTCAATAAAATATTCAAAAATTAAAATGAAGTTTAAAAATGGACTTTAAGACATAATCAAAATATACAAAATTTACATTATACATATTCTGTTTTTCATTCAAAGGTATGATAATCAAAATAACCATATTACCTATGCACTGACCATTTTTCTTTTTTTGACGTATATTTGTTTCCATAAATGTTAATTTATTGTTTCTTTCAAATATAGATGTTAGCCGAAATTGCCTCTCTTAATAAATGATCATTGCCGAATCTGAAATGCCGAAATAGTTTCTGAAATTAACTTTATTAGTTGCTGAAATTATATCCAAAATTATTTGGACTCATTAACATAATAGCCGAAATGCTAGGTTGTCTTTTTATGGTCTTTAATATGAAAAATATTGTGAATCTGAAATTGCTTGCCGAAATTGATTTTTTCAAAAACAATTTCGGCTAACATCCTTAGTCTCAAATCAATGTTTCAGATGTATTACCTTCATTGTCCTTGATCTTCATTCTCGCGTGGTTTTCTATTGGTTCCATTAAGAACTATTTTAATGAAAAAAATACCCATGACGTTGATATCTTAAATGTTATCAAGCGACAAGTTACCGAAGAAATAATCTTATATGATTCTAAACTGCATACCGATTTTAACGCTCGCCTCACTTCAGAACTTAATACACGTGATACTATCTTAAATGCGGAGGCGCAGAGAATCTCATCGTCAATTATTTCTTTAACCACAAGACTTGATAACATTAAACAAGTTCTTGAATGCTATAATAATCATTTTAGTAGAATTTCAACCAAATTCGATTCAATTAATGAATCTATTGCAACATTCCATAATCTACTCAATCAACGTTATTGCAATTGTCCAAAGAAACAAACAAGATCAGCAAAGTGAAACGAACCTATCTGAAGCTTCTTTCAATTCACCCATTTCCTCTGCTAGTTCTTCCAATTCACCTGGTTCCTCTGCTAGTTCTTCTGGTAAGATAATAAAGCTGAATTTGCCGATTATAATGCATGGACTAGTTTGATAAAAAACCAACTAATTTGATTTTTTTTTATATATAGGCTCAAATCAGCAATCATTTTCAAGAATTTCATTAACTGTCTGGACACGTTTTAAACAAATCTTTGATACGAATATGGCCCTGAAAGGTTATAATCTTGATGAAATGTATTGTTCCGTAGCTATGTGCATTCGTGAACTTGGAGAAAGTATTAAGCCGATAACAGTAAAAAATTTTTATAATAGAAGTAGTGGTTGTAGATTGAATACCATAGACCAGATTGGTTTATGGATAGATAATATGGAGTAGTAAGATGGAACTGCTATTTTAAGGTTTAGGGGCCAGCGTGATTCCTCCCTTTAAACATTTACTACTCCAATATTTTTATTGTATTAGTTTGTATATAAAAAATAATAAATGGCTATCATAATTTTTTAAAAAAAATAAGATCACATATCAAAATTTTTTGCTCTATTAAATGTAATTATCCAGATCCATACTGATGTCAGTCTCTTTGAAAACGTGTTTGACACTAGTATCGTCCATATTCCCATCCTCTTTTGATATTACCGCTTTTCCATAAATGAAGGAATTCCCACTTACGTGTCTGATGTATGAGATTCAAGTCTCATTTAATCCATAACCTTGATCTGCTTTTTTCAAGTATATAATTGTGCACTTACCTCCAATAAATTCCTTGACCGTATCTTCTTCACGAAATCCAGAAGGAAGTCTGAGAAAATATTTGACTTTATTTTTCTTAGATGCGGGTATGAAATAGTTGAATGTCTTTACCATATTGTTTCTAAAATTATATTGATGAATTAGAATTTTCAAATTTGATAATCTAATCAATCAAATAATTGGGGCTGAGTAAAGATAAAATTTCGATATGTACAACACTTAATAATCATAACGCATGCATGTTTATTTGTGCAATTAACCAAATTCGATTAATTAGCATTCATGTACATCTATTTTCTTTGTGAGAGAAATCTTTGGTGTAAATACATGCATTGTTTATACATTATCTTTTTCTTCCAGAAATCGCCATTTGAAATACCAGAAGAGAAACACAAAACTGTTTAAAAAGGGCAGTATAAATATTTGTTGCTTTATAGTGATTTATTCTTTTTTACATTCACATATTTAAACCAAAATATATATTATTGTGGTTTGCAAAATAGTTGATTTTTGCAGATCCTGTTACCCATAATTTTTTTTTACAAAATTCTCTTGTCACAAAAGATAAATATTATAAAACTATTAATTTTAATATTTTTTAATTCAGTTTTTTTATGAAATTTTCCTAATTAAACTTTATAATATAATCTATAGAAATCTCAAATGTGGTTGAATATAAAATATTTAGTGAAAAATAAGAAAAATTATATATATACATTTTATTTTCAATTGAAATTTTTTGAAATTTCATTGATCCCTCCCCAAAACTACCTATTTTTTGTGAACTTTTCCTAATTAATATATACAATAAAATATATCAAAATTTCAAGTGTGGTTAAATGTAAAATATTTAGTGAAAAGTGAGGAAAACCATGTATTTATTGTTTTTTATTTTTGATTGAACTTTTTTGAAATTTCCCAAAATTAGCAACACTATTTTCTAATTTTTTTGTGAACTCTCTTTAATTAGCACCTATAACATATTATATCAAAATTTCAAATGTAGTTAAATATAAAACATTGTAAGAAAAGACTGATGATAATGTTTTCCCAATGAAATCTTTTGAATAATAATAATTATTTTTCAAATTTTGTTTAGCTAGGGATGGATGAACAAGATATTGTTTCAAGGGAATATTTAATTGGGACATGTTTTTTATGTCAAATCTGCCTTAGATGCAAAGTAGATCAAACTTTTCTAAATTGTGATTGTGAATTGGAAAAAAAACCTGTTAAAAATGATTTTAATTCAAAAAAAATTTGATCCAACCTCAAATACTTTAAAAGAACAACAAATACTTTTATTGAAAGAAAAAAATAGATATTATGGATATGGTTTTAGTTTCACCAAAAGTTTTTCTTTTTTGTTTTGTAATAGCTGTAATTCAAACCTTCATAGATCAAAATATAAAATACATACAACTCTACCAACTCAAGAATTCATTACTGCTGCTACTATTACTCAACTAAACCAAGAATTCATTGCTGTTGCTACCACTACTCAATTAAATCAAGAATCTACTACCACTACTACTACTCAACCAACTCAAGAATTCATATTTCAATAAAAAAATGTTATCATTAGTCTTTTCTTACTATGTTTTATATTTAAACACACTTGAAATTTTGATATAATATGTTATGGATGCTAATTAAAGAGAGTTCACAAAAAAATGAGAAATAGTGTTGCTAATTTTGGGAAATTTCAAAAAAGTTCAATTGAAAAGAAACAATAAATACATGGTTTTCCTCACTTTTCACTAAATATTTTACATTTAACTACACTTGAAATTTTGATATATTTTAATGTATATACTAATTAGGAAAAGTTCACAAAAAATAGGTAGTTTGGGGAGGGATCAATGAAATTTCAAAAAATTTCAATTGAAAATAAAATATATATAATTTTATTTTTCACTAAATATTTTATATTCAACCACTTGAGATTTCGATATATATATTATAAAGTTTAATTAGGAAAAGTTCATTAAAAAACTGAATTAAAAAAATATTAAAATTAATAGTTTTATAATATTTATCTTTTGCAACAAGAGAATTTTGTAAAAAAAAATTATGGGTAACATGGATCTGCAAAAATCAACCATTTTGCAAACCACAATAATAATTAATACATTATTGGGAATTAAAACATTAATATCACATTGTAATTTATTTTTAAATGAGGAACATGAGAAAGTAGTGATGGGCGTAAAATTATTTTGAAAAATGACCAAGTTATTAAGTGTTAAAAACACAAACATGCAGATCTCTTATTGGTAGCAAATCTGTCTGTTTAATCAAATATTAATTTG